GGGCTAGCAGAAGGGAGGAATTTTACATTACAAAGGTCCGGGCTAGCTTGCCAGACTAGCTTGCAAATGGCTCCCGGCTCCCTGCAAGGTGTTAACAAATTACCCCAGGTTTCCACAACTTCAGCAGCATCTGCTTTAGTACAGAAACAAAAGAGGCAAAGGTTAGACTTTATTTTTGTAAGACAGGCTAATCTAATTTTATTCTTACAGGAGTATGAAAGAACCACCGTAGATCACTAGTTGAGATTTTAAAAATAAGAGTTTTAATAGAAATATGATACATACAGAAAAGACCTCAAGTCATAAATGTGCAGCTCAGTGAATTTTCACACACACACACACACACACACCTGTACAGCTGATAGACTGCAACTTGACAGGTTGATGCCACATGGGAGGCCCAGGTTTGTTTCCTGGCCTGGTTTGATTTCTAAGAAGTTGGGCATGGTGACATGGACCTATAATCCCTACTACTCAGCAGGCTGGGGCAGGAGGATTGTTAGGAAGTGAGACACTGATTTACAAGAATTAAAAAAAAAAAAAGAAAAAGAAATAGAACATTACAGGTACCCATAAGCCTCCTCTTTCCCCCTCCCAGTTGAATGGTGGAGTACTGGAATATGAAGCAGTGTTCTTGATAGCTGAGCGTTAGCCTTTGAATGGTGGAGTACTAGAATATGAAGCAGTGTTCATAATAGGTGAGTGTTAGCCTTTGAATGGTGATGTATTGGAGTATGAACCAGTGTTTGTGATAGGTGAGTGTTAGACTTGAATGCTGGAGTACTGGAGAATGAAGCAGTGTTCATGATAGCTGAGCATTAGCCTTTGAATGGTAGAGTACTGGAATATGAAGCAGTGTTCATGAAAGGTGAGTGTTAGCCTTTGAATGGTGGAGTACTGGAGTATGAAGCGGTGTTCATGATAGCTGAGTGTTAGCCTTTGAATGGTGAGGTATTGGAGTATGAAGCAGTATTCATGATAGGTGAGTGTTAGCCTTTGAATGGTGAAGTACTGGAGTATGAAGCAGTGTTCATGATAGCTGAGCGTTAGCCTTTGAATGGTGAAGTACTGGAGTATGAAGCAGTATTCATGATAGGTGAGTGTTAGTCTTTGAATGGTGAGATATTGGAGTATGAAGCAGTGTTCATGATAGCTGAGTGTTAGCCTTTGAATGGTAGCCTTTGAATGGTGAGGTATTGGAGTATGAAGCAGTGTTCGTGATAGCTGAGCGTTAGCCTTTGTATGGTGAGGTATTGGAGTATGAAGCAATATTCATGATAGCTGAGCGTTAGCCTTTGTATGGTGAGGTATTGGAGTATGAAGCAGTGTTCGTGATAGCTGAGCGTTAGCCTTTGAATGGTGGAGTATTGGAGAATGAAGCAGTGTTCATGATAGGTGAGCATTAGCCTTTGAATGGTGGAGTATTGGAGAATGAAGCAGTGTTCGTGATAGCTGAGCGTTAGCCTTTGTATGGTGAGGCATTGGAGTATGAAGCAGTGTTCGTGATAGCTGAGCGTTAGCCTTTGAATGGTGGAGTATTGGAGAATGAAGCAGTGTTCGTGATAGCTGAGCGTTAGCCTTTGAATGGTGGAGTACTGGAGAATGAAGCAGTGTTCATGATAGGTGAGTATTAGCCTTTGAGCTCTAGGTTTACAAAAGACACCCACTTTTTGCAACGCTGGACACAGTATGTCACTGGCCTAGGTGGGAGTTAGAACTTTTGGGAAGTCCTCAGTTTAAAGGAATCTAAGTGGGAGGCTGATACTCAGGTAAAAGAATATCCAGAGATGTGCCTTTTCAAAGTCCACCTCAGTCATGGGACTTGTAACAGAGGTTTATTTTTTGACATTAACCTTTACAGGGAGTTTCTCCATGCAGCTAAACAAGCCCCAAGATCAGCATGTGTGTAATTGGCTGTACTCATGGGCTCTCAAAGGTCAGCTAGGTGGTGACATCCTTGCCCGTAGAGCAACAGATGCCCTCTCCCCTACTTTCCACAGAGCTGGCGTCTGCCTTACACTTCTGGCTGGTATGAGCCAGCAGGTCTTTCCAGAAGTACCATAAACCCTTTAAGGAGGACAACTCACTTTGTTTTTTAGTTTTGAATTCAATTTCAGTATCATTTACTCTTGTGGTATAACAGAAGTACCTACTTGAAATGTAGCCATGTTATACACTGATTTGAGCAAGTATTTTAAATGTTTCCATGGAGTAAAGAAAGGCAATCATTGTTGCTTTGGGGCAAAGGCCCCAGTGGAGGGCATGTTGTCAGCCAGGCCTAGCGGGAACACCAGCAAGTGTGAGAGCTATGCCAAGCTCTTCAGGCCTCCCTCTGCCCTCAGCCGTCACTGCTTTGAAAATCTTTGTTTCAGCCATTTCCCAGAGGAATACCACATTTGCAGAATCTAAGACATTTTGCTGGGATGATTAAAATGTTATGAAATGCTTTTCCATCACCGTTGACTTTTCTTATTCATAGTTTTGAATAGATAATACAGACACCACAAGGGCACACAGGGGATGGAGTCACTTTCCACCCTGGTCTCTCAGCGTTAACCTCTCCAGAGGCAGCTGTTGTTTGTTTTGTTTTAATTTTGTATACTAATCATATGTACTGCAAAAGAAATATATTATTCTAAAGGTAACTCTCCATATATTCTTCTAAAGGTAAACTCTACATTACACTCTTTTTTTTAAATAGCATCTTTAGACCAGCCAGTGGCATGGCGGTTAAGATGGCTGGATCCCACATGGCCGACTGCACGATTGAAATCCCAGACCTGGTGGCTTGAGGGACACACTGGGCATGTATGCGTGTGTGCTCAAAATCCCGAGAGAATAGAGGAGAAGGGATTGTGGTGTGGCCATATTCCCTAGAGGCAGGAGGGGGATTTCTCACTTTCTTTCTGTTTCTCTCTAGCAAACAGACACACCCGATAGCAAAAACTAAGAAAGAAAATTAGCAGATATGTATACCAGAGAGAGGATATGAAGAGCCTCTGAACTTCAACATGCACCTCTGAAAATACTACCTCTTGCTTTTTAAAATTATTTTTACATAAAAACACGTTTTGAGATTGTTTATGTCAATATATTTAAAATTGCCTTTTTAAATTTTTTTACTGGCTATATAGCATTTTATCATAGAAATATACATTTTTTTTTTTTTTGCCAGAGGGCATATGTGCTTGCCAGGGAGAGAGAGACACACAGAGAAAGAGACAGAGAGAGACAGAGAAAGAGAAAGAAATGGAGAAAACACTCATGGGACATGGCCATGCTGCAATCAATCCCTTCTCCACCATTTCTCCCTCCTTTGGGATTTTGGGCACACACACACGTGCACCTGGTATGTTGTCAAGACTTCAGCCACACGGCCAGCCCTCTGGATTCAGCCACCCTAACCACCATGTCACCAGCTGGCCCAAGATAGGCTGTTATTAATTTGACCAATTTCCCATGCTAGTTAGGTGTTTCTAGTCTTCTGCTACTAAATATATATTATATATTTATATATATATTTATATGTATATCAATATATTATTTATATATAGTATACAAACACACAC